AGTTAGATACTATTTGTTTAATACAGTATAGAAATTAAAGTATTTAAATAAATAATCTTCTAATATATTACAAATATGACAGCTAATATAGAATTTGCAAGCAAACTACTTAATTAAGTTATATGTATAACTAGTTGTATACTTTTTTTATATAAGTAATATATAATATATAATTAAAATTACAATAAAGATAATAGTTACTATAAATATCAACTTTAGTAAAAGCAAAAAAATAAATAATTAATTAATTATTTTTTTAAAAAAATATTAATAATAAAACTATATCTTTAACTTTATTAAAATTCAATTAAAGTTTTTACAAAGAAAAGCTTGCTTTTAAATTACTTATAAAGAATAAAGACTCAAACATATAATCTGTAACTTAAATCTATAAAAATAGCTAAGACTTACTTAAATTTAGTTATTAGTAATAATATATAAAAGAGAAGTATAATATTTAATCTATTAGATAGTCCAAAGATCAATTTTAGTAATAATTTGTAGTATTGAGATAGAAGGTAATGGTAAACTAAAAAGAGAATTATAAGTTAAGTTTGTAGAAGATGTAATTGAAAACTGTGCTAAACATGAAATACAATATAGAATCCATATTTGTTTATATATTTGTTAGTTTAAATGAAGAAAAAATTTAATAGAAAAAAAAATAACTATACAATAAGAAATAGAAATATTATAAATAGTAGAAATAAGGTTGATAGGAACTAAGTCAAATAAAGTAAAAATAAAAGATAGTATATAAGAAAAGTTATGCAATATAAAACTGTTAAGTATAAGAATTTCTTGATGTAAATTAAAAACAAAATTAGTAAATATGTCAAAAGCAGTAGTATTTAAAATGCAATTAAGAGAATTAGAAATTAAGTGATAAATTGTTTAAGTAGAAGGACAAAAAGTTCAGTATAATGAAAAACTAGTTTGATTGCATTGATAGAAAAGAGAAGAGTAAGAAGAGTTATATTTGTAAAGAATATAAGGAACAGATAGTTTATTCAAGAAAATTTTAATATGAAAAGTTTTTAAAATAAAGAAATAAAAGCTATAGCCAAAGTTAGAAACTTTTTGATTATTATTAATATAAAGCCAAGTAACTTCTCAGTTAATATTGGATACAATAGTAAACTATTATTGAAAATAATGTTAGGATGTTCAAAGTATTATAATATAAGCTTGACAGATAGTATAGATAGAGCATCAAATAGAAATTTCAATAGAAAATTGATCAATAAATAGAGCATATGCAGAATTGTAATAATTGTTATTTAAAAATATTAAAAAGAGTAGTATTTGATGACTACGAGTAAGCTAATCAGCAAGATTATTAAATAGTTTAACTTGGTATATAGTAAGTTTGTAAAAAGTGAACTGAATATTATATGAGTTAATAAAGTTAATAAAAGTTTGCCAAATAGAGAAATATGAAATATGAATATGAAAAAATTTAGAAACTGATGAGCAAATATTGTAATATTTGGAGATTATAGATTATGAGTCAGTAAAGATATAAACAGAACAGTTTTTAAAAACAGTAATAATTGCTAAAAGAATAGCAAGAATTTCAGCTTTAAAAGAACATACCTAAAGTTTAACTTGTATCTGAAATAAATGAGTAATTGTAGAGTTATCAATTTGAACCTAGCCTATGTCTATAAAGTATTGAGAGATATCAAGCTCAATAACAGAACTATTAGTATAAAATAAGATAGTAGTTAGATTATATTTAAAATTGGTAATAAACTGTAAGCTGTTAGTAAGTTGGTCTAACTGAAAGATGTAAGATAATTTTTGTAGATTGATTGTTAATGAAGAAGGTAGTGAAATATATAAAGGATATCAAATAACTACAGAGTATATAATATCAAAAAAATTGACATATAGGTTAAAAGTTTTGTTAAAATTAATATAACAAAGTAATTTAGTAGCCAAATTTGTAGAAATAAAGATGATGTATTTGTTAATGATTGTATTGGAATTAAGATAACATCCAGGACATATAGTAGTAGTAGAAGGAGAGAATAATTAATTAATTATAAGTTTTGGTTAAAAAGTTATTAAAATACTTTTTAGCTAAAAATTTTAAACTTTATAATTAAAAAAACTAACAAAATTTTAGCATTTAGCATAATGCAAATAACAAAAATAATAGTATAAATAGCAGTACTTTAAAGATAATAAAAAAAAATTAAAAAAAAATTTAAAATATATAGTTTGATTTAATAAAAATTTTTATTTATAGTAAATTAAGTTTGTTTATATATAATCTTTTTAACTAGTTTAATATAATTTTTAAATCTAATACATCTCTACTAATATAACTAACTGTTTTTAAATACTTTTAAAAAACAGTTAAAAAATATTAAATTAAAAAATTTAAATTAAAATATGTATATTTATATACAAAAATTTTAATAAAAGTTTATAGCAAAGCTATTAATATAAAAAAATTAAATTAAATTATTTATATATAAAAAAAAATTTATTATTAATAAAAGTTTGAGTTTTATAGATTAGTTGTTAAACTCTTATTTTCTTATAAACAAAATTAATAATTTAAGTTTAGCTAAAAATAAAATATAATCAACTTTCTCTATAGTTATATAATTAAAATAATAATAAGTTTTTTTAAAAAATACTTATAAAAAAATTATGCTTATATAAAGATTTTTTTTATACTTTTACAATAATTTGTTTAACAAAATTTTGTGTTTATATAAAGATATAATTATATGTGCTAGATGCTAAAAAAAAGGATAAAATTAACAAAAAAAAAGATCTTTGGAAAATTAATTTTTATGTTATAAATCTTATAATAAATTATAAAAAAATGCAAACTTAAGAAGCTATATTACAAAATTTTATTAACACAACTACTTTTAAGTCTTAAGTGAAAAAGAATTTTAATCTTATTTTAAATTGATTTATATAAAAAAACAGCTTTTAAAAAAATGTTAATTTTATTTCTTTTCTTAGCATCTAGCCTATATAAAGTATAACTATATAGAGGTCTAATTATACTTTATAATTAAAAATTAGAATTTATAATTAAACATAAAACCTTACAAAAGTTTAAATAAAAGTATATATTAAATTTAAGAAATTTTTAAAAGAAAACTAGTACAACAAAATACAAGCAATATTAAAGTAAGAAATATGAAGAATGTTAATATTTGTAAAAAACAAACTAATTTTACCTAATACAAACTTATTTTTGACATAAAAAACTCAAAATAAATAAAGTATAGAATCTACTTCTATTTTGGTAAAATTTATTTTAAGGCTAAATTAGCTCTAAGATCTGAAGATTAAAAAATTAAGCTTATTTTAATATTACAAAATAAATATTAAAAATTAAAAATTTTAAATAAGAAATTTATAAACAGGTTTTAAGTATAGCAATTAGCAGATAATCTGTAAATAGAATTTTTAAATAAACAATAACTAAAATTATATATTTAACTAATTATAATTTTATTTATATGCAAAATATAATATCTTGATAAAAATTAACAAAGCACTTAATAAAAACTATAAAATTAAAGAAGTCTTTTTATAAACTAAAAAAAATTATTATTAATATAAATATTTTTTGCTAACTAACCTTTTTGAAACTAAGATTTTATTTAATATTAAAATACAAAAAACTTTTTTATAAAATTTTTCTTATATTAAAAACATAACTATTTATATATTTTAATATCTAATTTAAGTAATTTGGCTATAACTAAATTTTGTATTTGTTATAGAAATTATTTATTTAAACCTTTAATATTACAATTTATTTTGTATTACTATAATATTATTTATTATATATATGTTAGTTAATAGGTTATAAATTCTTATCTGCATTTTAAACTATACTACTTTATTTACTCTATATAAACCTAGTTACTTAGTAATTTATTCTTATAATATTATTTTCAAAATTTACTATATTTCATTTTTCAATCAACTTGGATATTTGCTATAACTAAGGCAATACTTGCAATTAAGCTAACTCTTAAATATTTAAAATAACTATATACTTATAATATTTGCTATTTGGTTTATTTTTTATTTTTATTTTTTTTTAAATATTAGCGGTGAGGCCATCTATTTGGTTTATTTTATTTATACTAATTTTATATTTATATATATATAACTTATTTATTAATTTAGAATAGTTCATGATTATTTAACCATTTTAATTTTATTTACAAGCCTACAAGCATTAAGTAAGCATATATGTAGTGATTTAATACATAATATATATTAGATTTGTAAATTTAACATTATATTTTCTGTTTTTGATTTATATAATAACAAAAAAGGTTAATCATATTGAATATGTTAAAATCTATAAAAAAAAAATTTAACAGGCTTATCGGGTACCCACGGTCTTTTTTTAAGCCCAACCCGGCCCAAGCCCAGACCGCAATAATTATGGGCCTAAAAATATAGGCCCGACCTGTATCAAGTCGGGTTCTGACCCGGGCTACCCTATACTTAATACTAAGTACAGAAGTAAGGGATAAGTTATAGGTCATTACTGTGCGAGACAGCAAAAGCGCCAAAATTTAAAATTACATGATCAATTATGATTGGCTGATTTTGTATAATCAATCGCGATTGGTCAAAAATAATATAGATTTCTTTTTTTTATATATTAAACGTCAAATTTTTCAAATCATATAATAAACTTTAAATTGATATAACTTCTTAAACTTAAAAAGAACTAAAAATCTCTTTTAACCAAATTGTAGCTTAGACTTAAAACTAAAAAAAAATATTTTTTTTTTTTGTAAAATACATATAAAAGGGGTGTTGATTTGTGCTGTTCTGCTTTGTATTACAAAATTACTATGCCCATACATAATTTTGATCTATTATATGATTTAATTTGTATCCGAAACAGATTAAAGCAATACATACCGATTAATTAGCATTTTAGTTCTGGCTTTCAATTTAATCATATAAATATTAATCCGGTAAATTATAAGTCCAAGATGTGGTTTTCCTTTTTGGTGGCACCAATATGTATATTTCATAGAAGCATTGTAGTAACTTACTGACATTAAAACCCATAATACATACCAATACACTCTTTTAATTATTTTTTGATGACGTAAATAGTACCGATTACGTAATTTATTTCCAGTTATTAAACGTCTGTATAGCTCATGCATTTATTATCTAAATCAAATGCGAATATTTGTTAGTTTAAAATTAAGTAGGTTTAAAGATGAATATGGAGGATTTTGAAAAACTGGAGAAAGTTGGAGAAGGTATTAATTAGAAAAAAAATAAATATACAGATACGTATATAATATATAGATATATGTATTTAGATATTGTATAGAACAATAAAATTTTGCATTTTATTTGTATGGAATCTAAGTTTAGCAACAAAATTTACAGTTTTTTTTTTTTATCATGGAAACAACTTTTTTTTTACTTTATATAAACCAAATTCTAATATTCATAATTATTAATCAAGTTTATTTATTTATTAATATGTTATATTTTTTGTTAAAAAAAAACAAAAAGGGACGTATGGCGTAGTTTATAGGGCTAAAGATAAAAAAACCGGAAGAATTGTGGCACTCAAGCAAGTACGTCTAGATTCATCACCTATCGGAGACAAAGAAGGAATTCCACCTACTTCACTTCGAGAAATTTCTTTGCTGAAAGAATGCGTGAAACATGACAATATTGTAAAGTACGTTAATTATATAAACATGTAACAAAAAATATATCATATTTAACACATATTCTAATGCATGGCTAGATTACTTGACATTGTAAATCAAGAAAATAAACTGTTCCTTGTTTTCGAGTTCCTTACAATGGATTTGAAAAGATATATTCATTCTTTTAAAGAAGGATTGGAACATAAAAAGATTCTGGTATTTTTTTTTCATTTATTCACCTTGATAATTTTATTATGAACTATCATTGAGATACGATAAATTGCTTTCATTATTTCAAACCGAAAAAATAGAAACTCATGTATCAACTCCTTGATGGTACTACATTCTTACATAAACAACGAATTTTTCATAGGGATTTAAAACCTCAAAATCTATTAATTGACCAAGAAGAAAACCTTAAACTAGCAGATTTTGGGTTGGCCAGAGCCGTTGGTATTCCTTTGAGACCTTATACACATGAGGTATCGTTTAGTTTAAATTTTTTTTTTTGAATCTAATTTGAGGATTTTTGATTTTTCATACACGAGATGCTATTTTATGTTTAGGTGATTACCCTATGGTATAGAGCCCCAGAACTTATGCTTGGTAGTCCAACTTATTCTTTTGCCGTTGATATGTGGAGTATAGGATGTATATTTGCCGAAATGACTAATAAGAAGGTCTTATTCAAGGGTGAGATTCTGTTTAAAAATAATTGTCTATATTAATATTATTAAGTGGTGTATATTATTAATCGACATGAACAGGAGATAGTGAAATAGATGAACTTTTCCGAATCTTTCAGTAAGTTTTATTATTTATTTATTTACTTATGTTTTTAATGCAAAAATATTCAATTCAATTAAAAAATAATCATAATAATAATGGAAGGGTTCTTGGAACTCCGGACGAAAATGTTTGGCCTAACATAACACATTTTAAAGATTTCACACCTGTTTTTCCAAAATGGAAACCACAACCTCTTGATAAATATGTTCCTACTTTAAATTCACATGGAATTGATTTGCTCAGTGTAAGTTGAATTGATTTAAACAGCGTTGGTATTCAATACAATGAAGATTTTTAAAGATATCTATTCATTTACGATATATCATAATCATATTTACAACATATACGAATAGAAAATGTTGACATACGACGATTCATTACGTATCTCGGCTAAACGTGCTTTATCACATCCTTTTTTCAACGAAATGAATGAAAATAATCGTTGTTTTTCGTCGAGACCATTATTAAAGGGCCAATGCGAACGTGAAACTGATGGTGCATGCAGACAATCATCTAGTACTAGCAACTTTGCAGCATTAAACTCTAAACCAGATTTTATAAGCAAAGATAAATGTGAAACTAATATTGGGAAAGAATATAAGCAACCTACGGAAATGAATTCTACAATGGGAGTTAGTAAAACTGAGCCAGCTTCGTGGAGACTTTAGACAGGTTTGATATGAGAAAAATAAAATATACATATGATGCAATTAATGCACATAAATATTTATATATATTTAAAAATGCTACTAATTTATCTTATTTATAATTTAAATACAACATTCCTCTGTTATCGTAAGATTTAATTATAATTATATATTATCGATGAGATTTTATTAGTGATTCATAAATTTGTAGAAAACTAATGTTCGAGACATCTTTTCTTTTATTCACGTAAATGAATACTTTCTTGAAGTGACTTTGATTATATGTATGAGAAAATAACTGTTAGGTAAATGCTATAGATCGTGACTTAGTTACGTAAAACCGATTATTGATACAAGTATAATTACAAAATTAGTGATGATGGATGTCCAGAGATTCAAGAGATAGATAGATATTTATCTTGTCACGGATTAAAATGAAAATTTCTAAAAATAAGAATTAACTGCCGCTTAATGATCATGTCATAAAATTAAGACGCCACAAAGGTTATAACACATGAGACCAGTGTTTGAAATCTCAGACTCAATGACTGTTCTCATGAGAACAGTAAAATAGTTGCAAGTGTTCTTAAACTATTTATGTTCATTAAAAAAACAAAAAAAAGCCAATAATATAACTTAATAGTATTATGGTTTCGCGATTTGATTTGATCAAATAGTTGAACTAAAATCAAATTCAAATACAGCAATTCAATTTCAAATCAAATTCAAATATGGTCAAATTTGACAAATATTTGATTTGATTTGAAAAACTATAATCGAACGTTTAACGTTATAAGCTATTTACAAAATTTTATTAAGACAGTCGAATTTTTCGTTCTACGAAACTAGAGGGTTTTAAATTAGAAGAATATTTTGATTTAGAGCTCAAAATCGATTAAATTAATAAATTTTTTCGTAAATTAAGATTATTTTTTAATGATCGATATTTAAGTTTAAATACAAATCAAATTCAAATCCAAGTTTTTGGGATCAAATCAAATTTAAATCAAGGTAAATTGGATTTGATCAAATTCAAATTAACCCAATTTTTGATTTGATGATTTTGAGGAACCTAAATAGTAAAACTTCTATTATATTTTATATAACCCATCTACTATTTATGAGAACACTGCTTATTTTACCGCTCTCAAAAAATTTTTAATAGTTAATGGTAAAAACTTTTCATGAGACTTATCGGGCAAATGACAATAATCGGCCGAAGCAAGCACATGCGAAACCAAAACATTTTTAAGCGTATCAGGATGGAAAGCTTTTGGCGAAAGCGTTAAGTATGGTCCAAGTACTTTTTTTGATCATATATAATAGATTAAGGGCATAACAACGAGAATGGCTGGTTACGATGGTTACAGGCTAAAATACAAACAAAATCTCGACAGCCTAGCCCGCATTAACAATAGTTCTGGACTATTTTTGTCTGGATTTTGTTAGTCAGGATTTTAGCCTGTAACCGTTTACGATTCTTATGTGTGGAGAAGGGTGCACATAAGGATGCTATAATAAACTCTTAAGAGACATCACATCACCTCCGAAGATGTTTTAGTTCGTCTTATTGTTGTGCATAATTTCTCACTGTGACAGGATATCCATTAATGACAATATAGAAAATTTATTTGAAATAATTCATGTCTATTATTCAAATCGTTTGAATTTTTTTATTTTTATTTTTTTTGTGGGTAATTTACAATATTAAATCATATTTACTAATCAAATCTAATCAAGCAAAAAACTTGTCATTAGTAAAGCTATACTTAAAAATTCATCTATTTGATTTTCAATCATTCTGACCTTTATAATAAATGCACAACATTTAGTCTAAAGTCTGTGACAGGTTATGTTGATTATTGCTGATTGTAGTCAATAAAATTACAAGATCATCTGTAACTTAAAAAGATTTTACTATGACAATCACAGTTTGACTTCTAAATAAAAGTTTTTAGTAAATTCAAATATCAAATATCAAGCCTGCGCTTAATTCTAGTCTTTATGCACTTTCGATTTGGTGATCGACATAACCTGTCAGATGTGCTTTAAGAACCCTAATTACGTACGACTGTGATTCAAAAAGTTAAAAGAATATAATCAAAAAGGCTAGTTTAAATACAAAAAAATAGATAAAACTTATATTCACAACACTGGTGTTATATAACACTCATATTAATGTTTGTATTGGTCTGAGTTAGAATCGAAGTTTTAGATTAGGTAAATATATAGTTTAATAATAGAGTGTTATATACATGAAGTTATAAATATAACTTTCAAAAAAATAAAAATAAATATAAATAATATTAGATATTAATAAAATCTTGAGAGATAATAAATTTTACTAATAATATAATCAATTGGGTTTGTCGGAATTTTAGAATTGCCGAAATTATAGATCTTGGTTGCATATTATGATTATGAATCTCAGTATTTAAGATAAGCAATTTTTAAGTTAATGAATATTTAATATTTTTTATCATCTAAATTCATTTAATTTAATATAAGTATAAGGAACGTTTATTATTATAATATAATTATTTATAATAAGCTATCGCTATTTAATTTCATGAATATTTAATTTCGTTTTATTTATACGCATATAACGAATATTGATCGCACTCTTTACTTCTTTTTGCTGTTACCGGTATTACATATTGGGACTAGTGCTTTTTGTAAACAAAGCATTATATTGGTTATCTTGTTTATAATGATGAATATAAATATGAATAATATCGAGAAGCTTAATTATATTTCAACGATTTATTTACAACAAATACATTACTATTGAGCTTACTTATTTCCAGCAGAACTAATATCTTTGATCTCAGCAAATTTCTTGCAAAAGTTGAATCCATAACTTTTTGGATATCCCTCAGGATTGCAATTAAATTTCTTATCTAAACAGTCAGTATAAAAGTTGAGAGAATTAGGCGCTAGATTTTTACAACGGTTCTATTGCACGAATATCATATTGGATAAAAAAAGATCCCAATTATGCTGAATATAACAAGTAATCACTAAAATCTTTATAAGAAACTAAGACCGACTGTGACGAAAGCACAGGAGGGATATTATCGCGAGGATCACCTGACCCCTTGGTCATTGAAAGCACTTGACCTAGAAAATCCTTAAAATATACCCGGGGTAGAGGTTATTATCCTGTGTCTCGATTTTAGTTTTTTAGGGTTAGGGTTAGTTTGCACGTGATGACTATTTTAAATTTAATTTAATTATTTTTGGTCATAGGTTAAGAGCCTATACCCCGGGTACATTTTAAGGACGCCCCCTTGACCTAATGATGCTGATATGAAGTCATAGGTCCGCATTAATTATGAGGTCATTGATCTCGAGTCCAATGATAAGCCACAAAATCCAAAGAAAGGAAGTTGTGCTTTTCTTTTGCTGCTTTTAGTAGTTGCTCAAAACCCTATTTTCTGGCTAATCGAAACGTTCTTCCCTCCCACTCCTTCCCAAGGAAATTCATTTAGTTAACCGGCCAAACAGATATACCCATCGATGCTATTCAATGCTGCGGAACAATACGTTTGTGAAATCAAAATCAGATGATAGTGTACATTCGCACTGTTTAAGAAGTAGATGAAACAGCCCACACTGTTCTTGAAGGTATAAGGAAATAGCTGTGAAACCCTACACTGTTCTGGAAAGTATAAGGAAACAGCTGTGAAAACTCCACACTGTTCTGAAAAGGATAGAAGGGCAAAGCACGCCCACACTGTTTCGGAAATTGCTAAAGGAAATAAGTTAGAATCAAAATGGAATATGTTAGAGTGTAAAAGAACTACGCTCGGGCAAATGGCAGTGGCACTATTCCCATAGTCTTCTACATGATGCATCTTCTTTGCGTCACCTGAGTTATGCAAATTGATTTATTGTTTTACTGCTTTATTGATTTATTGCTTTATTGATATTTGAAATATGTGTATATATTTGGGTTGGAAAATAAAAGTTTTTTCCAAACTTTTAATTCGACAGTCACCTATCTAAAATCAACGAAAAATTTTTTTATTGATTGAGGTTAGAGATGGGAAAATCGAGGTTTTTTTGAATCTATTGCGCAGCCTGCACAGCCTCAGACTTTTACTCATTAGGTTTCGCGTTTATATATATAAAACATCTACTTAATATGTGTAAAGTTGGGCTCCCATCAT